TTATCTTACTTTAAGAGTAAAAGTACTCATTCCATTGGCAAATTATCTTATTTACCTACTCAAATTAAGATTAAATGCATTTAACTGAAGACATTTTTGCTCATTTCTAGATCGTTTCTGCAGTGTACAGCTAATGCTAAGTGCACTAACTGAGACACATTCATGTCTGAAAACTATTTTCTTTAAGATGTCTTATGTATGTTTTCGAAAAACAAATAAAAGACCAACCGTGACCGTGTCATTATTTATACCATTAATGTTTTAAGGATCTTAAGCTCTGAAATATGATGACAGTCTGAATAGTTTGCCAACATTGAAACGTTTGCTTATCCTCTGCTAGAAATGTTTAGCTTGATTAATGTATGATTTCTATTCTGCTTCCTGCCTCCAAGATTTTCCCACTAGGATCACGTATCAGAGCTTCCTTCTATAATGTTTTTATATAAACTGCTTATTTATTTGGTTTGAACGAGTTTCTAGGAGGGAGTTTGTGGTCCACAGAAATGGATCATTAACAACTTTCGAGGCTAAACCTGTCTGTTGTCTTCAGCAAACAGTCACTCAGAACTTCTCTCTTCAGGTTTAATATTACTTTTTCTGCAAAAGAAACAAGAAACTGTCCACATGGTGAACTCCAGTCTACTCTTAGCTTGTTTCTCATCAAATTTCTGCCCTTTTTCCAGATAAACAACCACTAAGATTTCTTTTGTTTCAGTACCGGGAATTGTTAAATCTGCTTAATTTAACTGATGTTATTTGGAACTTCTCTAAGATTGTAATTAGGATAGATTTATGATCTTATAGAGTAAATCAGCAACCATTTGTGTTTCCCTATTCCTTCTGTTGACAGTTGAGTGTATAGCGTCCATCTTAGCCAGGTCGTTACACACACATCAAGTGAGGAGGAGTGTTGGGAGAATGAACGGGAGAGGGAAGTGCAGGGATCGGCCGTGGTTCAATCTGAACTGGTTGGATAAACAGGGTGGTGAAAAGAAGAATAAACTGTAGGTTTGTGGTGCACCAGATCTGAAAATAGCAGTGATTGCATCAATATTTTGATTTAAACGAACCCCTTCAGAACCAAAGTGTTTTATAACACACGGTGCCCGGCGAAGAGATTCATTGCTCCTGATGTTTTCCACATTTCTTCACGTTACAACCACAAATTTCAGAACTTTTTTCTGAGATTTTATGTGCATATGCACAACATTACATTATACAGTATCATGACATGGAAAAATTATTATTTGTATTTTCCTTGCTTTTTTTTTGCATCACTTTTAGGAAAAGAAAATATAAAATTTGGTCTCCGTTGGTTCTGCCTACTAATATTACAAAATAAAATGAGCAACTGGACTCAGAAGTTGCCCGATTATTTAAAAGAGACCAACATGAAGCAGTGAATAATGTGAAATGGAATAAAATTGAGTTCAATATTTTAAGTTTTTAGCCCCTAAATGAAATATACTGAAATCAAATTATCCTCAGAAGCAAATACTTTCCTAATTAAGTACATTTGTGCGTAATTAAAATCTAGCTTTTGTGTAAAGGAAAATTCCCTTACTTCAGACCTCTGTTCATCCCATCATCAGCAAATTGAAGTGAAAGTAAAACACAACTGCAGACATATCCAGACATGGTCGTAAACCTAAAGCGATGGGTCAGGGGAGGAGAGCATTTGTCATAAAAGCAGCCATGACGCTCATATGTGGAGGAGCTAACGATAATCTGTTAACACAACAAATATTCGTTGCGGAGTTAAAAAAAATCTGCCATCTCGAAGTCTATCTAGTTCATCAACCTTACACCCAAAACTACAATTAAAAGGTTTAGATCAAAGCAATAAATTATAAGAAGACCTGAATAATGAATTTTAGTCCTGGTTTTACTATTTTAAAAACAACTTTCCGCTTTAACTGTAGAGAAAATGTAGTTCTACCTACTAATAAATAAAAGCAGACCAAATACAAATGCATGCTAAACTTTGCTGATTTTAAATTTGATGCACCTTTAAAAATAAATACCCCCTAATGTCAGTTTTAATGAAAAGCATAACCGAACCACTGCAGCAAATGTAAGATCAGAACCAGCTATAAACAGCAAAGCCCAGATCTTCAAAGATTCCTTATTTGCATAATCCCCTCCCATAAATGTGCTTGTTGTGGTCATAAGCATAAGTGCTGTATATGCAATTCAGTTCAGTTCATTTATATAGTACCAATTCACAACACATGTCATTTCTATTCAACTACTATTGAAACTACCGGATCATCCAGTCCAGTAGTTTCAAAGTGTACTATCTAAGGAAAACCAGTTGATTGCATCGACTCATTGACTCTAAGGCAATTCCTCAAACCAAGCATGCTTGTAGGGACAGTGGGGAGGAAAACTACCTCTGAACAGGAAGAATCAGTGTCAGTGTGAACGGCCTTTCACTACCCGATCCGTCCTGGAAGCACGATCCGTTCCGCACATGAGCCATCAGCTCATTTGTGCATGTGCATCGAGATATACATCCGGGTCACCCTCAATTTTATTTTGACCTAAATTACATGATTCCCTCGGCAAAATAGTAAATGTTCTAAAATATGTGTTAAAGGTTAACAATGTATTTTCTGAGAAAATAAATGCCTTAAAATCCTTTCTGTTCTATCACTCGTCTTTGCCCGATCTGCGCCGGAAATGGGATCCTACTCTACTCCTGAGAGCTAACTTTCATTATTGGAATTAATCGTAAATATAGTCTTTTTTGGTTTTATGTTTTCCTTTCGTGATAACATTATTGTATATTGTGCGTAATCCAAAAAAGGACACAACTAAAATGCAGATAAACATGGATTACTCATATTTTGCCGGACTGTTCTGAGCGTGTCCCATGATGACGTCAGAGAAGCAGTTTAATGGAGAAAATGTAAAAAGCATCAAAAGTGTATCAAAGGTGTGTATTAGCGTTTCTTAGTGAGTTAAGGATAGAAATAAGTGATTTTAGTACCATAATTACATTGTTTATGTAAAAATAAAATATATAGTTGTTGACGCATGCGCAGAACAGATCGTGCTTCAGGGACGGATCGGGTCGTGACACGGCCATCTGCCGTGGTTGATTCAAAGTTTTCATTCTAATGCTACGTTCACACCAGACGCAGCAAAATCGCGTCTGCTGCTTCATTTTTGCTGCTTGTACCAGTTAGTTCTGACGCGCGGCTGAAGCAGCTTTGCTGCTCTGGCTGCGCGGTGCAAAAGTGTGTCTGACCCGCGTTGGGCGGAGCTTCACTATCCTTTCTTTATTTTATATGTTTTTAAGTGAGAAAATCCACCTGAAAACCTAATCAGTGCAGTCAGTTCATCCAGATTACCATTTCTGTCGGAGCCGCTCAGACCCCCACATACCAGCGGTGCACTGTCAGTAGGAATCCCATTCAATAGCAGCCTCTGGCCGGGTCGCCTCCTCGCGGTTCACCGCGGCGGCTGGTAGGTGTTTTTCATCTACATAATCCAAACTGCAGGCACCAACATATTCTGCCGGCAGATTTCTCCATTTTAAGTTAATTTAGGCGTCAATAAACTGTTTCAGAGGAGTGATCACAGCGCTCTGTGTCATCAGCAATGTGCCTCTCTCCCTGCCATCTCCCATATCAGCTTCTCTGATTGGTTGTTGCGGCGCGTCGAGCAGCAAAAGTTAAATTTTTCCATCTCGAACAGCAGCGCGTTTGCGGCGCGTCATGTGCGTCAGATGCTTAAACGCGCTGCGGGACATTTTGCTGCGCCTCAACGCGCGTCAACCATTGACTTTGCATGTAAACTGGCTGCTTCTGCCGTGCCTGCTGCGTCCGGTGTGAACGCAGCATTTGGAAAACCAACTGATTGCACTGACTCATTGAGTCCCCTGCAATCCCTCACACTAACCAGGCTTGTGGTGACAGTGGAGAGGAAAAACTCCCTTTTAACAAGAAGAATCCTCCAGCAGAACCAGGCTCAGTGTGAGCGGCCATCTGCTGAGGTTGCTAAGGTTCAAGGAGACAGAAGCAGACATAGAAAAAGAAGCATAGATACAAAAGGCAACTGTTAACCAGCTCCACGGTCTGCCCAGGAAACACACAGCCAGGCAGACGAGCTCCGAGCCAGCTCCCATGTCAGAGGATGAAAGAGAGCACATCCAGTTAGTCACAGTCAGAGAAACAGGACTACACTGAAAAATAGGCTAATCTCGAACATCTTTAAACAAATGTAAACATGCTAAAAAATTAGCACCTGCTGTTCCACTGATTTTAGACGTAGCACTTTGATTTACACCCCGTTTGTAGATCAGCTTTGTGCATGATGTCATGTTTGCAGGTTTTTGTTTAGATGCAAATCAGGCCACCTGTGGTTCGCTTTGTGCACAACTTGGTTGTTTGACTTGAACCTTTTTATTTCACAAACTGGAATCATATGCAGCTGATGACTGACAAACAGCAGTGAAACTAATGCCTTGTGACCACAAATAGCACAGGGCTTTCCTGGCAGATGCTGAGAGAGGTGTTACAGTCATGTAAAAAGCCGCAAAGTAAAGAACCCTCATTAGTGGTTTACTGTAAATCCAAATCATAAATATGCCTTTTGAAACTGCATTTCCATCCTTGAACTGAGTGGGATAATAGCATGTCAGGCAAAGTCACACTCGCTGAATGCATTTCAACACAGTGAAGAAGCATGGGGTGATGAATGAGTCCCGTAAAACCCATGCATTTAAAGTAAACACTTAATTTTTCAGTTGAAATTCGTGTTAATGTGTGGCCTGTTCGTGAAGCCATTTCTGAAACACCTCGATGTTGCAGGGAGGGACCGAGCTTGAGGTTAACCACATCGACTGTCATGGTCTTCACCGTGCCTCCCTCCTACCACAGAACAAACAAACTAAACCAACCAGATATATATATCCTTAGATTTCCCACTGGTAACTGGTGCACCTCAGACTTGTCAACATCTTCTTTCACCTAGAAATTTCCCCATATGTATGCAGCTTTCAAATCCACATGAACAGATGGAAAAAGCTGGAATGATTGTTCCTCTTTAACTGACCTTTGTTTGCCGTTTTCAGCATTACAGCCTCTTGACTTTGGGAACACGATTACTGTGTTTGCTGCTGGATCTTTTTCTGTTTTCTTCAAAGGTCTTTTTTTTTCAATGAACTCAATCTGTTTCTTTTCCTCTCTTCAGTCTTTCCCTTCATCTTTCTTTACCGGGCAACGTGCAAAATCAGATTGTAAAATGTTGTCTAATATTGCTAATATTTGTAATTGTAGTCTCCTTGCAAATATTCTCCATTCTAAATGCAGAACCAATGGCGATGGAGCCACCGTCTCCGCCAGAGGAAGAAGGTAAGTGGGTCTTAATCAGAAAAAAACTGCTGCTATTGGTTTAGCTTCTACTGAATATCAGAGGCTAAGTCACATTGACTGTATGGTGGTGACAGTATCATGCAATGGGGATAAACTTGGAGAGGTTTAGAATGAGAGTAGGAGCAGGAGAAAATACCTCATTCTAGGAAAACAGAGCCACATGTGACACTTCAGGAGAATCTCAGGGAGAAGGATCAGACTGAGGATTAAAAGAATAAAAGGAACTTGACGTCTTAAGCTAGACTTAATTTTGTGGTGGCAAAATCTGACAGCAAGCTAAGACTAAAGGTAAGTTGATCAGATCAAGAAGGCCAGGATGTGATGCAGCACCAGAGAAACTAATTTGCTTTAGGGTATTAACAAAGCCATTAAAGTAATATTTGAAGGACTGGTGCAACCACAGTCATGCTTTAGGGTTTCTCTCATGTCGGAAGTCTTCACAGTGCTGAGGATCCTCAGTCACCCAGGTCAAAGTCGTTCTTCAAAAAGTGAAAAAATAATCCACTGGACTTTGTTTTCAAGTTTGAAGACGTTTCTCTTCCCATCCAGGAGGCTTTTTCATTTCAAAATTTCAGAAATAGCGTTGAGTCCGAGGCTTTATATAGTGGCCCATCAAAGAAAACATGCTAATAGGGATCAGTTGAGTTGATCTCTTCCCACTATCATCGCAACCCCAGCCCCTTTACATGGAAACAGAGGACCTCACTTATTCTGCCAGGCCAACAATTTACTTTAAACGACCCCCAATCCTAGGTGGGGACCCCTCCGTCCGCTTCAATTTGCATGTTTTCTAAGCAAAAACAAGGCTTTGTTGGGCTACTGCAGGGGTCTGCAACCTGCGGCTCCAGAGCCACATATGGCTCTTTGGACCCTCTCCAAAGAGTGGCTAAAATGTATATAAAGAGCTAAATAATTTACTACAATATATACCGGTATCAATAGCTTTAGCGTTTTTTATAAGATGGAAAAGAATGAGATTAAAAGAACCAGAAATATGTTTTAAGAGACATTTTTCTATGAATTAGCTTAAAAATTATACGTCTTTACATTAAAAATATATGAATTGATTGTTTGAGATGGCAACAACTAATTTCCTATACAAGATAAAAAAAAAAAAGGTTTTCTAGAAAAAGTCATGGTATATTTTGCGGCTCTAAACAACTTTTATTTGGTCGTACTCTGGGCAAAACGGCTCTTTGGATATGAAAGGTTGCAGACCCCTGGGCTACTGTATAAAGCCTCGAACTCAATGCTGTTTCTGACATTTTGAATGGAAAAAGCTTCCTGGATGGGAAGAGAAACGTCTTCCAACTTGTAAACAAAGTCCAGTGGATTGTTTTCAGCTTTTTTTGGAATGAAATACCTCATAGTCCAAAAGATATTTTAGGCCTTGTCCTAACCTAAGAACTCATGGAAACTTGGATGAACTGCTCTGGTTTTAGACATGAAGAAGTTGATCTTTAAAAACATTGCTTGCACAAGCAAGTAGAAAATTTATTTTACAAATGATCAGGATGGTCTCACGAGGCTAGAATAGGCGAGGTCTTCTGTTCCCCTGTAAAGGGGTTGGGGTTGCGATGATTATATTGGACGGTTGGAAGGGATTTTATATATATTCTTTTATGATATTTTCTGGAAATATGATCTTTGACATATTGTTCCTTCTCCTGAATTGTTGAACACTTTGACTCTAGGAGTTTTTCTACTATGATTATGTTTTCCTATTTAAGGGGATCTTAATCTGGAGCCTTACTGTTCTACATACTGGGCTGTGGCTCAGTTCTTTATTATATTTTATAATTTTTATTGCCTGTGAGTTCTCATTGTATTCATTGCTATCCTAAAACTCTGCCACGTTGACCTCTTGTAGTTTCTGTCCTTCAGTTCTGTTCACCTTGTGTCATTTGGGTACCACAGGTTCACCATTTTCCAGTCAGACTGAGATTCACGAGTCCTTACTAGATGTTCTAGTTAGACAAATGAAAGAGGGTCTAATTTTTCGCGCGCAGATTTACATAGACCACTATTTGTGATGACCTGCAGGTTCAAGCAGTTTAGAATCCAGTGATTCACAGTTTCTGGTCGTCATTTCAGGTGTTTTGAACCTCATTTCATATAAACAGAAGTTTGCATTTCCTACTCATATCTGTTCTTATACTTACTTTTTGCGTGATTATTTTAACCGATTATGAGATTTAGATTTCAGAAGGTTTTTTAAATATATGCTGGTATATATCGAGGTCATAGTGATTCCAAAAAAGTAAAAAAATCAATCCACTGGACTTTGCTTCCATGTATGAAGACGTTTAGCTTCCCATCCAGGAAGATTTTTGTTTATCTGCTTATATCTGTTTTTATTATACCTACTTTTTACATGAGTATGGCCACAATTATATTGTATCCTGCCTGCCCCCAGGGAATAGAAGCCACATGTGGCTCATGCTTATGATGCAGTTATCTTCTTCTGCTTTATAGTCAATAGTTTCTTTGATAACATGAACTGACTCAAATAACATACACAAACATTTTGGACTCCTGTTAAAGATGTTGTCTTGGTGATTTCTTTCAGACGTCACTTCCCCGTACCCTGATCTGTGGTTGGAACAGGTCCGCAGCCGGCAGAATAGATCCAGAGCATCCTGTGAGTTTCAAAACGTTTCTTTAATATGGAAGTTTGGGATGTCTTCAAACCACAGCAGAAAAATCCCATTTTAAGTTGTCAGACGTGTGTAAGCAATCATAGTTTGAGGCTGTTGCTGTCTTTTAAGGACAGATGGGGGGGTTGTGAAACCAATAGATCTTGATGTTGAAGTGCATTGGGTTTTGATGATCCGCTTCACTGTGGTTTCTTGTATTGCTTCTAACCTGTAATTATCTCCACATGGCACAACTATAGGATCTCACACTCTTCTATTTTATGCACACGTGTGTTTATCTTTATTCCAGTTTCATGCACATGGGGGAAATATGCTGGTTTGTATAACTCAAAATGGCCCATAGATGAGAACCTTCTGTGTATGTGTGGGTCTTTGCGTGAATCCCATTATCATAATTTACAACCAATAATAAGCCTGAGAAATGCTGCATTGGTTTTGATTACCATATGCTCTCTGGCTTATTGGGGTGAAAAAAATTCATTCCGACCCCAACAAAGTGAGCCCATAAAGAGGCGCTGGAGTGAAGAGGGTTAGTTTAGAAAGTGCAGAGGTATTTCATTTGGTCTCTTTTGTGTGGCTAAAGATCCCCTGTGAAAATAAACAAAGAAAAAGAATATCCATAATCCCGCAGCGGCTTCAGAGCCTTTAGGCATGCACCAAAGGGAGGGCCAGCTTGGCAATAAAAGCCCTCATATGCTAAAAGGCAATCCTTTCTTTTCTGACTTCAGTGCTCTTATCTTTCTTGATAAGATGCCTGAAAACAGCTCTAAAAAAAAAGCAGTTTCTTCTTCATCAAGTCCATTTTCTCTGTATGCCAATAAAGGACAGGGTCAGAAAGGGATGGCTTCATTAATGGAAATTTGGAGAATGTACACAAATAGACTCCTGGCAATGATCCTTTGTCTCATCTGTCTTATATACACCCACTACACAGAGAGAAAGGGCATAAGGAGTGTCCAAATATTTACTTAACTTGGGGCAAAGGGAGCCGTACTTAGTCATTAGCTTGTTAATGTCCATAAACAGTGCCATTTGTGGGGGGGGTGATATATCAGTCTACACACAATGCCTCCAATAACTCCACCTCTGTGATATAGTAAAATAAGTTTGCTAAGATGACAGCTGTTTTTATTTTACTAATGAATTAAAATAAATCAGAAACATAGCATGTGATGGAAATCCAGAAGGCTTGGCCTAATCTGATTAAATGTTCTCCTTAATAAACTATAAACACATCCTTTTGTTTATACTCTGTTTGTGTAAGGAAGGTTTTTGATAAATCATGCCACTTGGACCACCTAAGTTACCGCTGACGTCGTGGACGGAGGGCTTATTGGCTGATTTGTGTGTAAACTCTCTCTAGCGTCATCGTGTGACCAGGAGCAACAATCGGCTCTGGAAGAGAGGAGGCAGCGTAATAACGACGCTGTGTTTGTGCCAGACTGTGCCCAAGGCGGATTCTATAAGCCGGTCCAATGCCACCCCTCCACCGGCTACTGCTGGTGTGTGCTTGTTGATACAGGACGGCCAATACCGGGGACGTCAACCAGGTGGGCCACAAATTAGCCATAAACCAAAGAAAAATGTGATTTATTCATGTTTGGTAGGAACTAACATACTTTCACTAGAGGACATACTCATACTGTGTACATGCTGTGTTAAAGTTAGTAGCTGAAGTACAGAGATGGGAAGTAA